GATGCCAAACATATTGACATACATTAATAAAATAGGAGTTTAATAAAAAACGTGATGACATGCCCGCTGATCCCTGACCATAGGAAGACCCCTCGGGGAGGCGGTTAATGGAATATTTGCAGAATTCATGCCTTCCAACTTCACCCAAGGTTACCGTATAAGCATAAATCAATAACCACATGCCAGAATCACAGCGAATAATGGGGAGGATACCATACGAATCCTAAGCCTTGAAGTATGATATCAAGCATAAACGTACAGCTCCAGGCTCAGCCCCACGGAAGATTTGTAGTAAAGAAGACCGTTATATAATGTATTGCTTTGATAATTAATAAATTCGTGTTATTAAACTGTGACATTAATAACATATACACATATCTGTCAATTGCACAAAGGCTTCAACTGCTTGATGCATTGAATATTAATTTAGATAATTCTTTATTCATTTTTAGCAAAATTGTTTCGGGCAAATATCATGTTTGTGCAAGGAAGTCACAAACTGTCGTTGTATAAATACATTATGTGCTGCTATCTAGCGATGAAAAATATAACTATTGTTAAGTATGGAAGTAATATTTGTTTAAACTGAACTCACTATTAAGTAGTTGTTTTCCTTTTCATTATTTTCCAACAAAATAGGGTTAGTAGAAGAATAGAAAAACATTGTTGAAAGAAGAGTGATTCCCTTTTTTTAAAGAACCTTAATAATTAGATTGGATATGAACACAACGTAGATATCACACTTTGCCTTTCAACAAATCAAACCAATGGAATGTTGCTAAGCCTTACGAAGATCATGAAGTAATTTCTCAGTAAATGCTGGAAATAGCATATCGTCCAGAATAACAGCAGGGTTATTATTTACGTTTCTGCTGGCAAAACATTCAAAGTTTAGCTGCAGAAAAAAACAAACTTCTAATACTTCAAAACTTAATGAGAAAATAGAAGCCAAAGTTATACTTTGAAATGTATTAGCAAAGACACATTTGAATATAATAAGTTGATTTGAGAACTTGGAATAGGTCAGAACATTATC